CTCCTAGTAAGGCCAGGAGCTACTAGTAGCTTCTTGCTCCCAGTAGCGATGCCCTTTGTTCCTAGTAGTTTCTTGCTCCTAGTAAGGCCAGGGGCAACTAGTAGCTTCTTGCTCCTAGTATGTTCCTAGTAGCTTCTTGCTCCTAGTAAGGCCAAAAGCTACTAGTAGCTTCTTGCTCCCAGTACTGATGCCCTTTGTCCCCAGTAGCTTCTTGCTCCTAGTAAGGCCAGGAGCTACTAGTTGCTTCTTGCTCCTACCAGCGATGCCCTTTGTTCCTAGTAGTAAGGCCAGGCGCTACTAGTAGCTTCTTGCTTCTTGTAGCGATGCCCTTTGTTCCTAGTAGCTTCTTGCTCCTAGTAGCGATGCCCTTGGTTCCCAGAAGCGATGCCCTTTTTCCTGGCAGCTTCTTGCTCGTAGAAAGGCCAGGAGCTACTTAGTAGCTGCTTGCTTTCAGTAGCGATGCTCTTTGTTCCTAGGAGCTTCTTGCTCCTAGTAAGGCCAGGAGCTACTAGTAGATTTTTGTTCCTGGTAGCGATGCCCTTTGTTCCTAGTAGCTTCTTGCTCCGAGTATGGCCTGGAGCTACTAGTAGCTTCTTGCTCCTAGTAGCGACGCCCTTGGTTCCAAGTAGCTTCTTTCTCCAGTTGCGGTTTTATTCGGAACAAAATCGATGATTCGGAAACCAAAACGATTATTCGGAAACCAAGCATGATTCGGAAACCAAAAAAATGTTATTCGCAAACCAACGATTATTCGGAAACCAAAAAGAATGTTCGGAAACCAAGCATAACGACGAAACGAAGCTGACATATCACTGTCCGCTTCGTCTCGGATCCTCTTCGTCTTCTCCTTCTGCTCGGCCAACTTGCTCTTTTTCTTTTCTCTCCTTTTCTGCGCCATCTCAAGTGGAGACAGATGGCAACTCTTGCGGTCTCCCCACACGCTGCCTCTCAGGATCGTCTGCCTAACCCCATCCCACCACCCCGCCCAACCTACTGCGACGCAGTACCCAGCTGCCATCTCCCAGGAATGTTATTGCCCCAGCCTCATCCCACCACCCCACTCAGTACCCAGGTGCCATCTTGCAAGAACGTTATTGGCCCAGCCCCATCCCACCACCCCGCCCAACCCGGAACGGTATTGCCCCATCCCACGACCCCACCTGACCTACTGTGCATTTGGTTGCTGAATCGTTGTTTTTTTGGTTGCTGAACCGGCGGAATGTTGGTTTCTGAATCGCAGAAATTTAGTTTCTGAATCGCGGTTTTGGTTTCTGAATCGTGCCATTCTGGTTGCTGAATCGCGGATGTTTGGTTTCTGAATCGGGCTTTATCCGGCCAGGAGCTGCTAGTAGCTTTTTGCGCCTAGTAGCGATGCCCTTTGTTCCTAGTAGCTTCTTGCTCCTAGCAAGGCCAGGAGCTACTAGTGGCTTTTTGCTGCTAGTAGCGACGCCCTTTGTTCCCAATAATCTTTAAAGTTTTGAAAGAAGTTGAGCGACCTTTGCGCGCAGCCAGCTGCATAAAATCCAGTCGAAGCTTTACAGGCCTTTAAAGAGTAGATGTTTACAGCTTTAAAGGTCTCTGAGTTCGGCTCAAGGCATACTTGGCTCAGCCAGTTCATCCCCGGCCCCGCGCGCCGGGAAGGATGCCGATGCTGCCGCTGTTGGTTCTCGGAGTGCTTCTTGCTGTGGGTGAAGGAGGAGGAACTGCGCGCCTGCAGACCAAAACACTGGAGGAGGAGGAAGCAGAGCAGCAACAGCATGAGGCTCAGCCAGAGCGTTGGATGGGAGGTCACTCTTCAACAAGAGTGGTTCCTCGGCGCTGGGCCCCGGCTCGCCCTCTGAGATGTCAGTGGCCACGGAGATGCGCGCCAATTCGATCTCAGAAGCAGAGGACACACTGTCGCTAGTGACTCTACAGAACTGCATTCTGGAATCGCTGCAGGATCGCCCGAGTTCTTCGCAGGCGCCTGCAACCGATCGATGCAGATGATGCGGCTGATGACTGGGACCAGATTCAGCAGCTTCTTGACCTTTGGCAGGCAGTGATTTTCATTTGGCGGTGCAGGCGGAGCACATTCCAGGCCTGGGAATGCACCTCAACATCATGACCTATAACCCCATGACCCTTAGAAATGGGCGCTGCCCGTGGCCACGGATTGCTGAGCTCTTCCAGGCTTGCCATGAAGAGAAGGTGCAGCTGATGGCGATCCAGGAAACAAGACTCAAGAAAAGAGTGATCAGAGATGAGACATATATGGTCCTGACAAACAAAGGCCATGGCGGCACGCGACTCAAAGGGGGATGGATGGTCTTCCAAAACGCATGCACGCGGTCCTCCATGATAGGATGATGACCCGAGTCCCCAGGACAAATTGGTGGCTTTGAGCATCAAGAGGTGGCGTTTGGTGCGCAGTTTTTACGCACCTCGCGGCTATCCTGTATTTGGACTTGCGGATTGCCTTTCACGCAGTACCACGCGAGACAGTTCTTGGACCTAGTCGAGAGCGTGAGACGACCTTACTACGGGCTGCCCTCCAAGCTGATGGTTTTCAACAGGAGGTTGTAGATGACATATGCCATTGCAGGGGCGAAGAACTCCCAGCCATGAAGAAGGTTCTGAGGGAGGCGCGCCATGGAACATGGTGCATTGTGCTCGCGGGAGCCGGCCTGGGTCCCCGATTGCTGACTCTTTGTTCCACACTTGTTTCAACCCGTCGCTGCGTCAGCTACTTGACAGCCTTCATGAGAGCTCTTGCCGCAGGGACCTTTTTGCTTGCATCCAGTGTGCTGACCAGCTGATTGCGCGGGCTGGATTTAGCAGTTTAGCAATCCCCATCCTCGCCAAGACCAACGACGGTCTGACTGAGGAGATTAAGAGGACGTTTCACTTGGTTGAGGAGGGGTTTCGACGGTTCGGATTTCGATTGAATTTTTTCCAGAGTCAAAACGGAGGGAGTTCCTACCTTTCTGGGACAAGGTGCTTGTAGTTGCCGCCAGCAGCTCCAGGTCCAGCCTTGGATTGAGCAGGGAGAGGACGGGCACCGCCTTCAGTTGAATAGAGCTTACAAGCATCTGGGAACTTTTGCTGGGATGGCTGGCAGCATGGAGCATGATCTGAAGGTGAGAGTTGCGGAAGCCTGGAGAACATTTATTGCTGGTGTGTTCCTTGACCGAGGCCTCCGGCTCCAACTCTTGGAGCCTCTCATTTTTCCCAGGTTGTTTTTTGCTTCTGGAGCATGGGAACCACTTGAGCTTCATCAGTGGCAGCGCCTGGAACATATATGCACGATGATGCTTCGTACCCTGACGACACAGAGGCCCCAGGGGATGAGAAGGTAAGGAACTGTCTGGGCCTCGCTTTCATGAAGGTCAGACTCAAGGCCTCGGAGAGCCACGCTTGCTCGGTCACAACCAGACGACCTGCTGCGTCCTGCTTGTCCCATTCTCGGAAACCGCCAAAGTGGTAGACGCTCAGCTCTTTTGATCTCGACCTCATCCACATCGCAAAGATTCATCCAATGCTCAACGTCACTAGATCCGGCTCCATCACATGAATGAGATGCATGACCCTGTCTTGCTCAGCCTTCGTAGTAGGTCATGACCGTTAATTATAATTGGTGACACGGCGTCCCACTTCTGCCTCCGTTGGCCCACCATCTCCGAACGAATCAATCATGGAGTTGGCGATGGCCTCTTCACTATCAGAACCAGCGCGTGTTCAGATCATCACCTTGTCACGACGAGTCAGGCGTGCACCATCCAGCCGCCCGGCGAAGAAGTACTCTCCCATCTGCGCGTCGCTGCCCAAGGCCTGCAACTGGGTACTTACGCGGCAGTCGTTTCAGCTGCATCGACCGCTTTCGACGCTGGTCAATCTTGCGCCGATCGAGTTGACGGATGATCGGCGACTTCTCAAGGGTCTGGAAAATGACCTGCAGACCGTCCGTTCGATTGACATCAGCATTGGACAGATGGTGCACTAGTTGCCCTGCTCGATCTCGAAGTTGAACCATAACACGGGGGCCTATCAACTCATCAGGAAGGGACCCGACTTCTCCCCTAATCCAAAAATCCACGCCTCTCTTCCATTCCTTGGAGGGCCCGGCTTGGTGCTGAAGATGGGCGGATAGCTGGAAGAGATCCATCCCTTCCATGTGGTGAGGTGGGTGACTCACCTCGTTTTGTCGACTGGCTATCCAGTCGCCCCGCGCAATCACCACCGACACGATCTCCCCGTTCGCGGTGGACGTATTCCCCCCAAAGGTCACCTTCTCCCCGTCTACTCCCGCCCCTACGCCACTCATACCAAGCATCCTTCGGCCTAGACCACTCCCAGTTCTCCGACGGCTGTTGTGAAGAGCTCCACGCATTGGACCCCCAACTCCAGACACCTGATCATCTTCAGCTTGCCAGCTATTCCCCTCCGACCACATAGTGCCACACCGGACCACCTCCCTGAAGATCGCCCTCCTCAGCACCACTCCAACCATCCGACCTTGCCGAAGACCTTCTGGAGGATAGGTGCCACCCACTGTCAAGTTTACACTCAAAACGAGCACTGAACCACCCTCGTTTTTTTTTTGGTGGTAGTCGGAGCCTCTGGTTCAGTCCAGGGGCGGTAGGTTCGGGGCGAGCCATAGGCGGCTGGCTGGCTGGGCGGCGCGCGCACGTCGTGCTCGACCATAGCCGCAGCCTTGAGAAGCCACTTACAAGAATCCTTCCCGGTCCTCTCGTCCCTTTGCTTTCTTGTGTGATTCCTTGCTCTTCCTTTTCCTTTTTTCTGAGCCTTACTCAAATGTCTTGCCTTGTGAATGTGACTGTTCGATCAAAGGTGCACTGGGCAACCCCCAAGCATTTTCCGGCAAGGGCAGGCAAATTTTGCTAAGGAATACCTTTATGGCAGAAGGGAAAAAAAACCTTTCAGTTGACCAGTTGCTCACAACATGGCTTAGTAGTTTGGGAGAGAGAAGGCTTTGCCACTGGGCGCAAGCAGCAGGTCGCACATCTTGAGAAACCATCATTCCGTACAGGGTTCACAACTGTTGCAAACTTGTCAACGACCGAAAAATCTCCAACTTGGACCGCCGAAAAGGAGGCAAGTCAAAGTGAAAGTGATGAGATCATGTGATTGGGAAATTCGAGCCAGAGCAAACCTTGAGCAAAGCCGGAGCATGGAGCGAGCTCAGGTGGACAGCGACATTGGAGCAACATTGGCTGTGCAAGAGGCGCCCGAAAACGAAAGGTTCAAGGTTCATTGAGGCCCTTTGAAACGAGATTCGACAAGAGAAATGTGAGAGAGAAATGTCGAAAGGGTTGGAGGCCATTACTACTAGTAAGAAACTACTAGTAGGGTCTAAAAGTTGCCACACCTTGGCCGTCTACACACGCCTTAAGTAGTCGCCCAGGTAGCGCTCTTGTTCCTAGTAGAAATGCCCTTTGCTCCTAGTAGCTAACCTTGTTACTAGTAAGGCCAGGAGCCCCTAGTAGTTTCTTGTGTGCATTAATAGTCTCTTTCAAGTTTGAAGGTAACCAACCTACTAGCGATGGCCTCCCCTTTTCGGAAAGCTCCGACTATACTGCCCAAGTCCGGAACACTATGTCTCAAAGCGCAAGGAACACCGGAGCCAACTCACTTTCGAGGCGGGCTGGTGTGTGCTGTCCGACCTTTTGGTGTTCTTCTTCGCACTTTGAGACAAGGATGCTCCTAGTACGGCCAGCCCCTAGTAGTTTCTTGTTAATGGCCTCCAACTAGAAGCTTTTGTTCTGACCTTTAGGCCTTTCTTTCATAGATGTTGCAAGCACGCCCTGGGTTCCTGAAAGAAGTTCGAACAGAGTTATCACCCTTTTCTGTCGTTTTATTCGACCCATGAAAGGTGTGTGTTTGTTTGATGTTTGATGTTTGATTGCATCCTGGTGTGGAGTTTTGCCAGGCTGTGGTCATCATGTGTGCGATTTACAAGTTAGGCCGCTTGTCGAGAGTTCCGAAAGAGTCAAAGACGAAATGTTTTCCTAAGAGCCTCCAACCTACTAGCGTTTTCCAGAGTTCCAAGTCTTTACAAGGTGACGGATATTGGCGGATCGGCTCCATGAACGTCACCTGCAGTGGATCGCCACGAGACCTCAAAGCAGCTTTGTCAAAGCTTGAGCAGCAGCGGGCCAAGGGATCTCATTTCAGATACCTTTCTTTCACACAAAAAATAATAATCTGTTTTTCGTGTTCTTTGAAGAAAATGAAATCCACAAAAAAGAACTGATGACATGCCGGCCGTCTCCGAGGCTCGGCTTCCCACGAAAACATGAAACTTCTTCCCAGGATGGGGTTTGGAGTGGCAACATGTTCCTTGCATTCTGCAACTTTACATAGTCAAGTCCAAGAATTGAAGAGGAGCTCTTTAGACTCTTTAGACTTGCCAGGAGCATTTGGTGGTCGAATCAGTTCGACGCTACCTGGAATTATCGCGCTCAGCAGTACGACGCTGAAAAGTGTTGCCAGATGTGTTCATTTGTCGAAAATACTTCGGAGTCACTTTTGCTCGAGGTCAAGGTGGCAAATGTTGATATTGATGGTTTGGATCTTAGTAAGGCCAGGAGCCCTTGCTCCTAGTAGTAAGGCCAGGAGCCCGTAGTAGCGTTCTTGCTCCTAGTAGTAAGGCCAGGAGCCCGTAGTAGCGTTCTTGCTCCTAGTAGTAAGGCCAGGAGCCCGTAGTAGCGTTCTTGCTCCTAGTAGTAAGGCCAGCTCCTAGTAATATTGATGGTTTGGATCTTAGAGACGAACTCTTCAAGGTCGAAGGCGCTTTGCGTCCTTGCTTCTAGTAGCCAACAAGTTCACAAATAGTGTTTCTTTCACCTACTATGCCGAGTTGAAAGAAAGAAGAACAAGAAGAAAGGTCCAAAGAAAAGAGGAAAGACCCACAAGACAGCGGCTCGGATCCGAGTGGTATCAAGGCTCGAACACCATGGCCATCCAATATGCAATTGAGGCGCGGCTTACAAGATTAAAGAACTCACGGAGACTAAGACGTAAGTGACCAGTTGTGTTGAGAAAGTGCAGTTGCATCGGCAGGGTTTGTTTATGTTTCCTAGCATTGTTTTGAGGTCCAACCAGAATCGCAGCCTGTCTTTGGGGTACTGCAAGCTAATGAGCCATACCGAAGACATACCCAATTACGCCAGCCTAGATCCCAAACTGCTTCAGCATGTTTTTTTTGCGTTAATTGCTTGAATTCCAATGTTGGGGACGGACGATATCAAAACTCGAAACGCTGCACCGCTGTTGCATTCATAGCCAGAAGAACGGGAAAACAGCGTGGCCAAGCGGGACAGGGCATTAGAGGGCTATCAAGGGCCAGCCCTGTTTCTCCTGAGAGAGCCACAAACTCTTTGGGGAACAAGAGGCGCCAGAGGACCGCAGGAGCAAGAGGAGGATACGTGAGCCTGGCCATGAGGGCAGCAGGTGGACGCGCATGCGGACACAAGGAAGACAAGACAAGGACAGGTTTCGCGAGCGCGGCCAGAGGGCAAAGAGGACAACAGGAGGGCAACACCCAGACACAAGGTTCAACGGCGTGGCCAGAGAGTGTGGCCAGATGTAAACAACAACGGGAAATTGCTTTAACAGTAAACTGATCAGTGAAAAAAGATCTTCCGGCCTCATCTCCAGGTTCTGGCGAAGGACGGTTTGCATCCCAGAGTGCTGTGTAGGCCCGTTTGTCTTCAAAGCACTTAAAGATCTCAGAGCTCAGACATTTGCACCCTCGTAAGCTGTACTTGTTTCGTTCCTTAGATTCTTTCATCACTAAGATGCAGATGCGCATCCGAAAGGCCAGAGCTTAATGTGCGAAGATTGCTTTGCAATTTGGTTTCATGCTCCAAGACCAGACAAGGCCCCAATGGATGGTTACGAAAACCACTCTAAAGGCTCTGGTAACCTTTAAACCTTTTTACAAAAAGATGCCATTTGCATTTTGGTCCACCGACTGTGCAACCTTCGACCTTCCCGCAGCTTGAATCCTCAATGTCAAGGAAGGAAGGAAGGAAGGGAGGAAGGGAGGGAGGAGGAAGGGAGGAAAGGATTTGAAAAGATTTAGAATCTAAAACATCAGAAAAACCCTAAAAGATTAAAAATGTGTTGCCCGAGGCGAAGAGCTCCAACAGACGCTGAGTGACGGACTTCAAGATGCGATCCTCGAGGTGCCGGAAAGGAACGTGAGAAAGAAAAAACAAGAAGAAGCGAAAGAAAGAACAAGAAGGGGGTAGAAAGAATGAAAATAATCGAAAATGTGAAGGAAATTTTCAAGTTCACCAATGAGAAGGTGAAGCCGGACAGATTGAGGCAAGAATTGGTAATTCAGTGATTCTGGCGGGAATTCAGTCCTTCAGTGTTTTGTATGTTGTTTTGCTTGTGGCCCGCAATTTAACAAGGGAAAACACTCGTAGCTACTTCAGTTACTACATATGGACGCAGGATAGTTCACGCTTCTTCATGGAAACGTAACAAGTGTTACATTGCAGTCTTGTTTCGACGTGCTTTTGCAGGGTCCTTCCGCCGATTAGCAAGTCCTTGAACCATCTCTTCGTGGAGGCGGTCAGACCCAAACTGGCCTTTATCACCCTGCCGTGACTCAAAGCCAAAGTTGCTGAAGCTCTTTGGTTTTTTGACCTTTCTTTTTGGTTTAAAGAAAAGTGCAAAAGTGTTCTTTTTTTTTGGCTGACTTGAGTGAACTCTTGTGGAGGTTCGCTGGGAATTTGGTGAAGTGAAGCGCACGGACAATAAGGACCACAGCTACCTCGTTCGGATGCCCAAGGATTTGCGTTCTTCTTTTCCTTAGGAACAAGTGCATCGCTACTAGGAGCAAGGGCCTTTCTAGTAACAAGAAGCTACTAGAAACCATATAGAAACAATAAGCTACTAGGAAATGCTTCTTTTCCGACCTTTGGACCTTTCTTTCTTTCTCAATTGGCACTTGACAGCTGTCATATGCTTCGAGACTTTTTCGACCCCAAGGATGCAGCTTTGATTACCTTTGCTAAACAAAGCCTTCAGGAGGCTGAGTCAACTGTGTCAAAAGCAAAACGTTGCTGAAGATCTAAACGTTGCTGACGCCGCTGTTTAGATCGTGGACTACCGGGGCCCCCATGGCGTCCGGAACGCAGCTGTGGGCGAATGTTCTCGATGTGTCCAGGTTTGCTACTAACAAGTGCATCGCTACTAGCAAGAAGCTACTGGGGCTCCTGGCCTTACTAGGAGCAAGAAGCTACTAGGAGCAAAGGGCATCGCTACTAGGAACAAGGACGCTCCTAGAAACAAGAAGCTACTAGGACCTTTTCGTGCACGTGGGGGGGGTAGAGGACGCTTATTGTTCCTACTTTCTTGTTCCTAGTAGTAAGGCCAGGAGCCCCTAGTAGCGTCCTTGCTCCTAGTAGCGATGCCAGGAGCCCCCTAGTAGCTTCTTGCTGCTAGTAGCGATGCCAGGAGCCCCCTAGTAGCTTCTTGCTACTAGTAGCTACTAACGTAGCGATGGCGTTGTTTTCTTCCCAGGTGCGAATCGTGCACAACGGCGTGGTCGACTACAACGGCATGTGGATCGGTCCAGTTGGCACCAGCGACGCAGCAGATGGTGCGATCAAATATGGAGGTGCAGAGCAGATGGTCAAATGTCCTCAAAATATCCCGACGCTCGAGTCAATCAGGTCTCTTGCTTGATGAACTGCCTCGAAGCGGAAAGTGCTCATTTGAGGCAGGAAATGGTGAAATGTCGAAAGCGTTGTTGAGCTTGTCGCCAGGTGCATTTGGATCGCTTACCACCAGCCACCACGGCAACTTAGAGGAAATTGGATGGACGAAAGACTGAAAGGCCCAAAGAACGAGCAATAGAAAGAAGCTACTAGCTTCTTGTTACTACTAGTAAGGCACTTGTTACTAGTAGCGATGCGCTTGTTACTAGTAGCTTCTTGTTACTACTAGTAAGGCACTTGTGAGCTTCGTGCTGAGGACATCTATGTCATCATCTCATCACCTTCCGGAAGAGAGCTCAGCAAGTGAGCGTTGGTGTTGTGAGACGCTGCGATTACTGCGCTTGTGAGCCCCTAAAGAGGTACAGCAACATAGTGGTGGCGCTGGTTGATGCTTGGAAGAGTCATAAGGTGAGAGGACCCATGGAGTAGTCTCCCAAGATTTGAGAGTCATGACTGCGGTAGCGCTTTTTGAAGTGCACATGCACTCGTCAGGTGTCCACGTGCCTGTTGAAATCAAAGCCTGCGCATCTTGGCACTGTTGTGATTGACCTGCTGAAAGAGAAAGACCGACACAACAAGCGAGATGTCAATATGTTTTTTCGAAACAACGAGGTCACAAGGTGTGATTTTCTGCCGGCTTTCCCGCACCAACCACGGGTGGAAGATGGGCGCCTTCAGGACAGGATTCATGTGATTCACGAGATTCGATGTTTTTTTACAGCATTATGGACTGCAGGACTCCGACATCGGGAGGAAGCCACAACTTTTATCCAGTCATCGAGAGCATAAAACTTGGGCGTTGGTTTGCAAAAAGTTTGTTCAAAAAGGGATGGTGGTTTGGGTATATATTGTTTTGGACGCCAAGGTTTGCGAAAGATTCAAAGCGAGAGCTACCCAGATAAATTTGAGGCAGAGCTCAAAAAGGGAAGGCTTTGCGACTTGTTTCATGGTTGACTTGTTGGCAGATCAGCTTGGGTGGGCATTCGACACGATCAGAGCGAAGGCGGACCTTTTTTCTGCGCCTCATGGATCGACGAGACTTCGAGGCTTCTAGCCTCCTTTGCTGCTATTTACACTTAATGAATTCTAATTCTAATTCTAATTACTATGAATTAATGTTAATTACTTTCATGCACTTGTTACTAGCTTCTTGTTAGTAGTAAGGCCCTTGCTCCTAGTAGCGATGCCAGGAGCCCCGTTCGTAGCGTCCGACCGCTCCTACCCGAGGCTTCTACCTTTGCAACAGCTTCGAGCAAAGTCTGGGGCTTAGCTTTGCGCAAACTCCATGTGCATTGCTCACTGTTTGCACTCCAAGGGGTGAGAAGCTTCAGCGTCAGCTGTCCACGGGATCAATGTCAAGCGCCTTGCTGTCAATGTCAAGCGTGTGTTGCTGGTTTGAGTTTTGTGTTGTTTTCTCTTTGGTTTTTCTCTTCCTTTTTCCGCCGTAGGCCTCATCACTTGGTCACCAGCAAGGAATCCCAACAGCCGAAGGCAAGCGCTTCTTTGTGCTTGCTTCTATACTGTCAATTTCAAAGGGGCCTTGTGGACGCATTGCGCGGAATTGAGAGTATTTGTTACTGGTCAGGTTTGGAGCAGCAGATACAGATTGAATTCATCCCAAAATATAAGCTTCAGAATTCAAGAAAAGCCGTGATACCCCCTAAAGCAATTTCCTTTTTCACCAAACAGCTTTGCTGTGAGGGGTTCTCCATTCTTGCATGGAAACACGGTCCTGAACTAAGATGATTTCTAGCCTTTTGTCTCCAGTCTCGGCTGAGATGATGTCTCCTTTTGATGACTTTGTTTGCATCGTGTGTGCTATTGTGTTGTGTCCTCGTCGCGTCGCGTCGCCATTAATTCCCTGACACTGGGGGAAGCTTTTGGAGGAGGCTTTGGATGGAAGCATGACGTGTCAGATTCGTGTGAACTTGCCTGGATGCGTATGGAAACGGGATAGCGTATAGAGGGCGGTATGTTTCGCTCTGCGGACCCGGAGAACAGGCTTGATTAGGCAAAGTTCGTGGCTGCGAAAGAAACGCGGGCCGCCAAGAAAAAGGAGCAGCGCAAAGACGCTCGTTGGGCGCCCAGCAGAGTGACGCGGAGCTGCTTTGAGGTGAGAACCATAAAACTTCGTGGACTAGCGGACGCGGGTCTACAAGGAGTCTTTGTGGGGCCGCGCGCTCAAATTGCTCAAGAATCCAAGCGGCGCAGCGCGGACGAAATCTCGCACGCGAGTTTTCTGCCGATGGCTTCACATCAGTTTTTTTTTGTCCCCCTGCTTGTCTCCCTTGTTTCTTCACTTTGTCTCCCCAGAGAGAACTGTGCGGACGCAGCGCGTGCAAACCATTTAGTGGGTGTGAGCGCGCTCAGAAAATGTTGACATAATTTGTGACAATGAGAGCAAATTTTGGAGAAGGTTTTTAGATGGAAGCTTTGTAGCGCAGGCAGGCCGAGGCCTGAAAATTTTGCGCAGAAGCAGTTTCTGAGAGCTGCGACGCGCAAATGGCAAGGGCTCTGCCCTCAGGCTTGGCCACTGGTGGGCGGCGCAAATGTAGTGGGAGCTGGTGGGGCTGTGGATTGATTGCGCAAATGTGGGCAACATGTGGTGCGCATGTAGCGTGGGAAGCAGCTGGTGGGAGCTGAGGGCTGCCACTTGGTAGTACATACTGTAGAGCGGGAAGCGGCTTCTGTGAGGCGACCGCAGGCTTTGCAACTTTGTAGCGCAAATGTACATTTGGTTTTGCGCGTTTTGGTGGGGCACGCGTTTAAGTGAGTTTGGGCTCGGTGCATCGCCGGGCGCAGGATGATTGGCGGCGCCCACGAGGTTTCTTTTTGCACGCGCCTTGCGACGACATGACGTATGCATTGTTGTTGCGCTTATGCGCGTTAGCCCGCGGCCATGCTTTTGGGAGATGGAAAGCACGCAGGATTCGCGGCGTTTGCGAGACTTGGTTCATTGTTGCTTTTAGCCTGTGGTGTACTACGCGAGCGTCGCGCGAACATTCCACAAGAGTTCCTCGCAAAAGCGAAGGGCCAACAAAAATTTCTACGAAGAGCAACGCGCAAAAGAGGAAGCGCAGAGCCCTACGGTGCCTATGAGAATGTTTTGAGCGTCGCGCAAAACTCTTTCACAAAAGACTTTTGCGGTGCGTATGATGGTCTTTCGAAAACATGTTCTGAAAATGCGTCGGGAAAGCGCGTTATAAAAAGTATCGCGCGACTTTCCTCATTAGAGCATCCTATACCTTCACGAGTTTTGCAAAAAGGTGAGTCATATGATCCCTATTGCTACGTTGCAATTGTTTGTTTTTATGCATTGATTTTATAGCGTTAGGACGGTCGCGTTAGGGTGTTGTTAGGGTTTTTTGCGGTTGCGCGTTGCGATGCGCGTTTATGTTTTGGGATTGCGTTTGCGTTTGCGCGTTTATGTTTTGTTGGTGGGTATGGAATGGATTTCGTTTAAACTTGTAATTTGTTTTGTTTTGTTATATATTTTTTTACGATATACATATTTGTTTGATACGTGTTTTAATTTTTTGTTATGATTTGGTTTTTGGTGTTTGAATTTTTCGATTAAAAATCGTCGGAGATATTTTAGATTGAAATTTGACGATGGAAATATGTTATAATTTTTTTTTGCTGTTTAGCGATGAATATTATTATATGGAATTTGCGGTCTAGGTTTGGTGGGGAACCGATTTTTTAGTATATAAATTTTAAGCAAAAAAAAATGTTTTCGAATTTAATAAAAGATTAATATTTACTTACGAAATTTAATAAAGGAAAAAAAATTGAAGCAAAATAATTACTATATATTTTCGCTTTTTTATTTTTAGTTTTGCTTTTTTTATAACATTTTCGTCGCGGTTTAGATTATTTTTTAATAATTGCATTATTTTATATAATTATTTGTTTTTTTTAATATAAAAAATAGATTTATATATTTTATGGTCCTTTTGGGATATATATTATTAAATAATATTGTTATGTTCCGACGTCGTCGATTGCGGATTCGAATTTTGTATGAATTACGGTAGATAGTTTTGATTTATTTTTAAATTGATTAATAACCAATTTTGGGGATATATTTTTTATATCGTTTTTATTTATTTATCGATTATTTTTTGGACGCGTACGTGAATATTTTTCGTTGTAACGTTCGGATGTATGTGGAAGGGTCTTCGTACGTTATGAAATTTAATAAAGGAAAAAAAAATTGAAGCAAAATAATTGGTTTATATTTTCGTTTCTTTATTTTTAGTTTAGGTTTTTTATAATTGGTTTATGATTTTCGTCGCGGTTTAAATTGTTTTTTTAATAATTGCATTTTTTTATATAATTATTTGTCTATTTCTTTTAGTTTTTTTCTGAGAACTCGGGGAGAGGAAATATAGGCCTATTTGATTCGCTATAAGAGTTAGTTGAAGAAACTCCGGGAGATTGGTATCGAAATTCTATCGTTATTAGTTTATACGGTTTGGTGTGCGTAAGTGGACTTATATTTAAATTAAGAGTCTTTGTAACGGCGAGCTGAAGTATGATTAAAGTTTTCGGCGGGGATTATAAGCCGAATTATCGTGATTTGAGGAGTTTTATATGGATGATGATGAAAAGGATTGGCATGAAACTTATTATGAAGATGAAATGGAGGAAGTTTCGGAGGCACTTAACGTAATGGATGAAACCTAGATTTTATATGGACTCACGGAGGAGGATGAAGGAACTTGCTGTTAAGGGGATTCTATTTTATTGTCGCTATTGGATCTGAATATGATGGTTACGGTTCGAAAGGAAAGTCTAAAGGCGAAGGTAAAAGTAAGTCAAAAACCTCAAAAGGAAAAGGAACTCTACGACGATTTTCGTTTGAGAAAGCCTTATACATCGTCTTTTTAGCGTCGACTACCACTTTAAGTTCTGATTATAAGTCAATAATCCTGTTAGGATTAACGTCTAGTTATGGTCTTCGCTTTAAACGCTTTTAAGTATAAGTCTAAGGTGCAAAAGAGGTTTTTGAAGAATAAGTTATTATGATGGAAGATGATGTACCACTGTACCGTTTCGATGAGTATTTTCTGTTACTTGGTCTTGGCATGGTTGTTATTGACTCCGGAGTCACACCTACCATCGTTGGAGAAGAAGTCTGGAAGAAATGGCTTGAGGAAGACAACTTCGATGATGTCCGTAACTTATTTGATTGCCAATGAAATACCAGTTATTGAAGGAAGCCCCACCAAGAACGATGAACACATCTTTGAGTCTTCCCTCGGCACTCGCTTTTGGCTTTCTATTTGGTGTTTTATTTTTCTTCGTACACATCATTGAGCATATGATCTAAAAAATCTACAATCTCTTCCTCGAGAAGGCATTGGTTTTGTGGAAGAAGAATGAGCGAAGAAATGGTCGAGACCATTGACGGACCTTGCACCTTGTCTCAACATCGTGAAGAAGTGGTGGAACAAACCCTGGCCCTTTCTAGACAATTAGGTGTCGACTACAGACTAGGCATCGATACCAGCAGTTCGACTTGCAACTCTGACAGCGAGCTTGAAGATGAGGAGTACAACCGATGGAAAAAGCTTCTCAAAGAAGTTGAAGATGAACCCAGCTCCAGCGCTTGGAGGAAGTTGTTGAGAGATTTGAATGATGAAAATAGCTCCTTGGATAATCACACTCGCCTCATCTTGACTACCGAGGGCTGCACGACCCAGCGCTGGCGGAAATTCCGAGAGCTATTGAAAACAGATCGAATTCAGGGCTTCTCGGATGATTAGGTGCACCAATGGCACCGGATGGGGAATGACAATATCTGCTTCTTTGCCGATTGTGGTTGCGATACTCCTTCTGCCCTCATTGCCAGCAGTGAGTGCTTTTGGAAGCGGTACAGCTTTTGCATCGCTCTTTGCTCCGATTTCTGTAAGGTCAGCCTCTGCAAGACCAGCATGTTCAACATCTTCGCAGGAAGACATGTCTAAAGAAAAAGAGTCACAAAAAAAGAATAACGAAGAAGCAAAACAAAAAAGGAAGAACGGTCTGAAGGAAAAACAACAAATTCAGAAAAGAACAAGAAGCACAAAAGAAAACAGGTCTAAAGGAAGAAAACAGGTTTTAAGGCAATCTCGCGCATTGTGAGGCAAAGGGCTCGCGTCGAATCGCTTGAGATTTCAGTTCCTGAATGAGCAAGGTGAAATTAAGGACTATTTAGTATTATGGACCATATGCAAAATTATCTGTAGAAATATTATCAAAAGAAAGAAATTTCTTTGCAAGTGCGAATTGGATTTTTTATAATTTGTGACGTCCAATCAATTCGATTTTCAATTTATTATTAAAATGGTCCTGCTGCTGCAGCCGTTTCGGGCTCACACGAATTCCTATGTTGCGACGAAGCTTCACTAGATTTAAAAATGTTTGGAATTGTTGCTTTAGGTTTGGAAAAAACGAAATATTCCTTATTGATGAAGAAATCTGTTTAAAGGTGTTGAAATTATAGGCATCATTAACGCCGAATTTCTGCTGAAACGAAACGTTACGTTATGAAGATATAAAATCGATAGAAACTTAATTAATCTCATTGAATGCAATTAACAGAACTTCCTCAAGATATAAACAG